GACTTTGACCCCCCTCAGGAAAGTGCATATAGCTCTCTTCTCGTCTGTTGTTAGGTTGAAGCACGCCGCGAGCAGAGTGTATTTTCCATTAGCCTCAGGTACCGGGTGAAGCTGTGGCATCACGTTTAGCTGCACCATGTCTTTCCATGATTTCAGACCATCCTTTGACTTACATGTGTCCATCAAGGTAGCAATGAGACTCTCAAAGACATTCTTCTGCACGTGCATAGCATCAATGGCATGGGGGACCTCCAAGTCTGGCCAATAAGACAGATACTGAAAGAAGATTGATTGTTTTTTGAAAGGTACGCCTTCGACAGGGGGTGTGCTTCTATCTCTGTTCGTCACATCTAGATTCTTCTTTCTATAGACGACGCGTATGTTTTTCACCATTCCACGTGTTCTTCGTTATGACGTCTCTCCGGAGGGGGTTCAATCTCTGGGGTGTTGTCATAAAATCTAAAGAACAATTTGCTATGGTACTTGTGACTTGTCTTTAAGAAGCATCAGTTTCTTAGGTAAACTATCTTCTTGGATGCATCCAGGTACACCCATATAATACCATCCAAGCAAACCAAGCATCCCGTCTTCCCTTTGATCTGTCCAGACAAAGCAAACAGCGCGGGGTAATCATTGATAGTAACAAATATTATTGCTCTACATATGAATTCCTCCTTTCGGAACGCATCATACATCGGCTCCCCATGCCTCCATAGCCTCTCCATTTCTTGCATCAAAGGCTCGAGGAACACGTCTATATCAATGCCTGGTTGTTTAGGGCTAGAAATAAGAATAGTGAGGAGAAGGTACTTTCTCTTCTGACACAACCACGTTAGGATGTTGTACATGGTCAAGATCACTGGCCAAGTGCTGTGGTCACTCATCCTCTTATTGAAGGGATTCATTCCATCGGTGCTCAAGCCAAACCGTACATTCCTTGGGTCATCGCTGAATTCTTTGTGCTTCTCATCGAACCTTTGCCACTGACTACAATAAGTCGGGTGTGCAATCTTATCATCATCCACCTTGCGCTCATCATCCCACCATGTCATGAGTGCGGCTTCTTTAGGGTTTAGGAAGATACGTATGAAGCGGTCGGTCACTGGTCTTCTCTGCTTTGCATCATTGCCTAATAGAGTGTCCTCTGGGGGCTGAGATTCTTGTACCACCTTTTTTGTACCCTTCTTATTCCTCTTTTTCCCCGTGGAGGCTTTGCCCCCACCGTAAAGGTCATTGTTCTTGTACCGGCTGGCCCCCACACCTTGGACATTTATCCAGTGACTTGAATGTTTTGCCACGAAAAAGTATACAGTGGTTGGGGCATGCATGGATTTTTTTCAACCCCCATTGTCAATGGACTTATGACCTTCTTCGCTTAGTATGTGTTGGCGGGAACTGAGTTTGGTTGTGGCAGCACCTATGACAGGAGACGCAATAGATCATTGAAACTACAGTCTGACCAGCCGTACTTAGCCTTCAGGATGAGTAGCTCAAGCACAAAACATAGCAATGTCCAATGTGTCGGACAACCCTTTTCAACACCATACACAGTCTCCTTCGATGCTTTTGTCACCCTTTCCAAATGTTCTAGACCTTTCGGGCTCTTTAGTAAAATCTCTGGTCCAAGGGCTCGAATCATGTCCTCCAAATCATCTTCATCCCCGACACGTGCTCCACCATCATTATTGGCACCACCTTCGTTGTTACCATCCCAACCACCAGCATGACCACCTTGTTCACTGCCAAACTCAGGTTCCATTCGTGCATCAAGCTCTGCTGAATATTAGGACAGGGATTTTAGAGTTTCATCGTCGTATTCCTCCTCATCCTCGTCTTTAACAATAACCGTTTCACCATGATGAATCCACACTGCGTAGTCCTCAATAAATCCTCACATAATCAAATGTGATCTGATGATAGTCACATCTGTTGATGCCATACGGTTCTTGCAATCTTTACAGGGACAAATAATTGTATCCTTATTCTCTGTCAACGTCGTTGCATGCTTCTTTGCGGCTTCAATAAATTTATCCACCTCTTCACGGAAACCTGCCTTGAACCTTAATGAACCATACATCCAAGAGTTCCTATACTCCATCTTTTACAACAACAACAAAACAAACATTTTATATACTTCAGATATATATGAATATAAATCAAATATAATTACATGAAGCATACAAACACACCATGGTAGAGGAAAATTAATTAATGGTCCATTTATCCATAAATAATTAAAATACATATTTGTTGATTACAATAAATAAATTTAAAGACAATAATTAGCAACAATTATATTTTACCCAATATCTTTCATGCAAACCCTAGTTCAATTTCATCAAACATAAATTTACAAAAACAAAATTAATAAAAAAATCAAACCCTAGATCTAGATCTACATGCACATGAAACATCCATAAAACTAACTAATTGTTCACTAAAATCAAGAAACATGGACCAAATAAGGGTATGATCTTGTTCCCCTACCAAATTTACCCAAGTACATTCAAAACTTTGGTCTAATTTGCTTCATAAGTAGCTCAAGCACCGTAGAAGAGAGAGAAAAGCAAAACTCTAATTACTCACTAACCAACCATTAAAACTTCAAAGAAAATGTGGAATAGCATTTTCTTACCTTCTACAACCTCTCCACCAAAGGATTTGAGATCAAAACCTTCACCCCTTAGTAGAGCAATTTTTGGGAGGTGCCCAAGGTCTCTCTACCTTTCTTTCACAGGTTGGAGTGGGTGACCCAAGGAGAAAGAAGGTGCTGCAGTTTGATTTATATGTGGGTCATTTATAGGGGTGGCTGGTGATTGAGCCGCCCCTATAAATCGGAGGTATTTATACGCGGGCATTTGTAGAGACGGCTCAATCACCAGCCGCCCCTACAAATAGCAACACCGGGGGCGGCTGGTGAGTGAGCCGCCCCTACAAATCCAACCCATTTGTAGGGGCGGCTCGTATCACCAGCCGCCCCTGCTGTTCCATTTGTAGAGGCGGTTGGTCTCTGGGCTTCCGAGCACGCCACTGTAGGGGCGGCTCCATCACCAGCCGCCCCTACAAAAAATTTGTCCCGTCGTTACAAACCGTTTTTCACGTAGTGGACAGTGCCGAGGGACATGGCAGGGAACGGCGTCACGAGGAAGTGGACGGAGTTGGGGGAGGGGATGAACATGACCCGAGCCATGCAGAGCTACAACGATGGCACGATGGGCAAGGTGCAGACCTCATCCTCATGGAGTATCATGTTAGGGATGCCCGTGACAATGTGGAAGCAAAAGCTAGTATCAAGGCATACGAGACATCCCTCCTAAATGTGGATCTCAAGGAATGGGCGGTGGATGCAGCATATGATGCTGCCTCGATGTCAGTGACACCATTGGTGGATATCATGGCAGCTGAGGCTAGCAAGAGAGGAGGAAGAGCATACTAGAGGGAGAGATGGCGGTGAGCAAGACCGTGTGTGTGTGTGAGAGAGAGAGAGAGGCGGTACGGAAGGGGAGAGGAAAGATGGTAACGTCGCCTAAAGAGAGAGTTGGTCATCAGATCTCCTTTTCTACAAACAACAAAACACATGGCATTATATTTGTAGATGGAGCATACCGACTAATGCAGTAAACCAAACATCACCTAAAATCATGCAGCCCGATCAAACATCACCTAAAATCAAAAGACTATCTAAATTAGATATTTTGTACTAGACCCTTATGAAGGCTATAATAAAGTAGACATTTTTTTTGCTGATATAGCGGGAACGGAGATTTTTGTTAAGAATTGACGATTGTCTTCTAACAGATTTAGGCCCCGTTTGAACCATTTGGATTCTGAGAATCCGGACAGAAAAAGTCCTACAATACTAGTTTTTCATCCGAACGGCAAAGATTTTAGAGGGTTTTTTAATTCATAGACTTTTAGAATCCCAAACCTAATAAAACTGTTGTGATTCTTTTTATCTAGATTCTTAAAGTCCAACGGGATTCAAACAGCACCTACTTTAGGAGGAAGAGTTATTTTATGGTAAACAGTAGAGGAATTTGGAGCTGTTTTTATACAAGGAGCCGAAGCTATAAAAAGTGACTTCTTAAGCGCTCCGGAGGAGCATTTGAGGCTTAAACAAGTAGATGAAATCGTGAAAGCATCAGCAAAGCAGAAGCCAAACGTACAAAGGGAATTTTGGAGGAGCAGCCAAAAATCTCGCAGGAAACTGGTCTTTAATCGCTCCTAAAATTAATACCATATCGAACATTTAGATATTAATAAAAAACATTAAATATAGATTAATTACAAAACCAATTACATAGATAAAGACTAATTTTCAAGACAATTTTTAAGCCTAATTAATCTGTTATTAGCACATGTTTACTGTAGCACCATGTTGTCAAGTCATAGACTAATTAGGCTTAAAAGATTTGTCTCGCAAATTAGTCACAGTTGTGCAATTAATTTTATAATTAATCTATATTTAATACTCCATAAATATGTCAAACGTTCAATGTGACAGGAATTTTAGAAGTTCCGAAACCAAACAGGGCCTTGGGCAAGCCTCTCCTAGAACCCAGCTGGCCACCACGCTCTCAAAACAGAGCAGTACGGAACACTTGAAGTAGGAGTATCAGTGAAATCTGTCACGACTTTGAATGCGTAGCCATTTTCCCGAAGCACATCAATGCAGTGATCAATGAAAAACAACCACCACCTAGGGAAGCGAACAGAAAGACAGCAGTCACTCTCACGCGTGGCACCTCTCTGGACTCTTGCACAGTTGTGCTCCCATCACTCTCTGCCCCTGGTTCCACATGACTGATGCAGGGGTTCCACATGACGGTGCACGGATCGATCCCTACCATACCACGAAGTCTCCTAAAAAAAATGGCAGCTGGCACCGCATTAGCCAGACCTGCAGAACTGTCGACGCAACGGATGGGTGCAGTGCAGTGCTAGCTCCAGTGCAGTGCAGACCAAAAAAATGGACGCAACACGGTGACGGGCCGGTATTATCAGGCCAGGAACGCGGCGTTGCCGTGGACCGGGGACGACTCCGGCTCGGGCGAGTTGCACTCCAGCAGCACGCTGCGGCTGCAGTGCGACCTGGACGTGCTGCTCGACGACGGCAGCCACGACCGCGCCGCGTCGCCGCTGAACCCGATCAAGTCGCCGCCTGCCTGCTTCCCCTTCACCCGCCCGCCGCCGTGGCAGTAGTAGTACCCCTCCTCGCCCTCCACGGCGCGCGCGAACCGTCCGGACAGCGGGTCCAGACGCTCGTACAGGATGCGGAGCACTTGCTTCATGGACGGCCGTGCCGTGCCGTCCCGGTGCGTGCACCAGTGGATCACGTCCGCCACCACCTGCAGCTCGTCCAGGTCGAACGCGTCCACCACCGACGGGTCGACCAGCTCGTGGAGCCGGTAGTCCGTGCCGATGAGCTCGCGGGACCACTCCACGAGGCTCTTGTTGTCCTGGATCACTGGCTTCCCCGTCACCAGCTCCAGCAAAAGCACGCCGTAGCTGTACACGTCGCTCTTCATGGTTACCTCCTGGGTCACCATGTACTCAGGATCTACGTAGCCTGCTCAAAGATTTTGGCTATATACATTACTACTGAGATACAAGTACAGAGTTGCATCCAAAAAAAAAAGATACTAGTACAGAGTACAGTACTGGTGAAATTAAATTGTGGGATTAAAAAATCACAAATGCCATGAAAAATCCAGAGACCATTCCCTCGTCTTAAATGACAGCTCCAAGAAGTTCTGTTCCTCTCTCAGTGGTGAGAGATCACAGGTTGCAGTGCAGCAATAGCTAGCTTTCCAATATTTGGGGTGCATTCGGTGGCAAAAAAAAAGTTCCAGGTCCTGCCGCATTAGCTTGGTGATAAGTCATGGCTGAAAAATCTTAGGAGCCCGGCTGGCCAGCTCACTCACAGAAACACTATTCACGTCCAGACATAACAGTATTTTTCTCTCACAACAATCAGCCGGAACAGTATTTTTCAGTCCTGCCGAACAGGCCCACTGTTGGCTGATTTGTTGTAAGAGAAATACTGTTCGTTGGCTGAAAAAGTACGGCACTAAGTTTCTATTCTTTTGCATTTCTTACCATTCTTTATATATATATATATATATATATATATATATATATATATATATATATATATATAATGGCTGAGTGCTTCAGCTTAACAGTCAGATGCAGAGGTCAGAACCTTATTTCATTCAAAATATAGGATCCTTCATCCAAAAACTGAAGGAGCAAAAGGCACCAGAATTTAGAAAACAAGAGAGCCTTACCAGGAGTTGCTTGGATCTTGACATTTACTGGGGTGCGACTGGGAGTTGTATTGCCACTACTAGAGTGGTGCGCAAGACCGCAACCAGCAAGCTGTTAAAATGCAAACGGTTGGGATGTGCAGAATAGAATTGTAAATTGTAACAAAGTTCTGTATGAATTTACCTTTGCAAGGTAATTCTTGTCCAAGAAGACATTGCTAGGCTTAACATCTCCATGGTATAGTGGAGGATCACAATAAAAATGAAGGTACTCCTGCAACCAAACATCATAAAAAGTCAAGCATAAAATTTGAAATATGTTTAGTCACTGCAAGGAATACGGTAAAGATTGATTTAGCCTTCGCGCGCATTGACAAAACTATAAGAAAAAACCATTAAGTCTCGCTTATCACAATCACTGACTTCTGCAGAAAGAAAGAAACAATCACAGATTTCCTGAAACTCACCAAAGCATTAGCAACATCGATGGCAATTTGGACCCTATTTTTCCATGGTAGCAGGTGTTTACTCGGCGCTGCAAAGAGCAAAATGCTTTTTAGCATACAATTCAACAAATGACGCATCATCAGAAGAATGAGAACGAAACATGACATATTACAATGTAGATGATCTTGAAGGCTTCCATTTTCCATGTATTCATACACCTGAAACCTGGATTACAGAACACTGTAGGAACCATAAATCGGTGGATATCTGAATTTAAGTACGACAGATATTAACCTCTCAAATCTTGTTGAACAAAAACCTTTTAGTCCAACAAGATGCCGATGATGCAACCGCCCAAGAAATTCCATTTCTTTACAAAATTCATGTTGACTTTGTTTTGGTGAACACCCGACGCGTCTGATAGCAGCCACAGATCCATCATTTAGTTGTCCTCTGAATACTGTACCATCTTGACCTTCTCCTAACACTGTGCTGAAGTTCCTTGTTGCTTTCTTCATTTCTTTGTAACTAAATCTGCCAAAAATGGTGGAATTGCCTGCAAAAAATTCTGTTAGGCAAATAAATTGAAATGGTTCTTGAACTGATTCTGATTATTAAGTAATTTGAAGATAAAGCCTCTGACATCAGTCCATCCTATTTTGAATCATAAGGATAAGGTTTTGAATAAATTACATGAAGTCCATCATAGTATTTAGTACGATGCACTGTGGCAAGAAAAATTCAGACCACATCATTATTATCCATATTGTTGATAGCTTTATGATAATGACTGAAATGAACTGAGCCTAGCTCAGCTTTTGGGAGTCTGTACACCCCCATCCAAGTTCAGTCCTCTTTGTTTTGAATTAGGGTGTCTATTTACTTTTAAATTAGAAATCACCTAGTTCCTCATAGGTGTTTTTTTATTTAAGATAATGAGTACAAAAGGGACACCATGTATACCAACTTGAGGTATTGACGTCTACTGCGCACATGGTAGATTTTTTTTAATTTGAACAGCATGGAAGAAGCCAAACATATTAACTTGTTCTAGGCCCTCATGCTTTCCCGCATGTTTGCCTTAGGCAATAACTCTCATTTCGGTTCCTTTCCCTTATCACATACACGCCAATAGCCATAAACGAATTCTGTGTCATCTAAAGTCAAGCATATTCCACAAAGAAATGGTAGTATGCTAGTATCCAGCACTTGTATCATATGCCATATAACCTCGTTAAATTCTCCTAGACAGTTGGACATCCAAATGAGCAGACGTTCGTGAAAGAATTACAATATCACCATAAAAAAATCAGGAAATCCTTACCTTCTTGGCCCTTCTTAACACAGGAAAAACTCCATGCATCCAGAGGGTTATTTCCTTCCAACTTTTTGAGTTCTTTATTCTTTCTACGGATTAGGAAAATCAGTACTAACATTAGTAGAATTGCTACTCCAGTAACCAAAGCTCCAATTGCTGGGAATAGAACAAGCTTGTAACTGCGATGATGCTTGGGTGGCACTACAGGAACTTGCACCGTAAGTGGACTAGGAGAAATATCTGGCACGGCAAGTCCAGCTGGAGCCGGTCCAGAGATGTTTACTGCATTATATATTCAACAATGAGAAGTTCACATCATGGATAAGGTCAAGGTACAGACTACTGAACTACAACAAACAAATACTTTTCGGAGAAGCAAATACACCTAAGTACCTAACTAGTTAAAGAAGCAAATCAATAGGTATAAGAAATACAGCTACAGTTCGCATAACACAAAAGCAGATGTAAAACAATAGTTTCATCTTACCAACCAACATATAGAAATAGATTTTTTAATATGGAAACATATGCAAAGATAAAAACAAAAAAACAGTATAATCATGTTTAGCTATTACAATAAGAGCTAAATGTAACATTGATACTAATATATGCTTATTATGAATGTTTAGATTAAGATGGATACCTATTGTTGAATATTTATACATGAAACTATCATAGATAAACTTACTTCACAGAATTCAGAGCAATCATTTGGTATGATAAGCTTGTTTGAACCAGAAGAAATATACACAGCAATCATTTTGTATCTGTGCAATGTACTAGCATCAAGCGATGGGGAAAAATCTAGGAAATGATTCAGTGAGGTGCCAGGCTTTATGTGTTAAGGTTACATTATGTGATCCACTTAACTGAAAGAGAAGTCATCTATATCAAAAAAAAAAGAAAAGGAGAGAGAAAAGATAATAAGGCTAAGATAACAGAATCTAAAGGAATTTTTTTCCTACAATTTTTTAATGACACTAGCCATTCTACAGAAAAGGAAGGCAAATTGATTTATCAAATATGCAAACCTTGAAGAGCACTAAGCCCCTGAACGCTAAAAAAGCAACCAGCTGTATCAACGGTAGATATATTCCCTTGACGCACAAATGCAACAAAAGCAGCATCACGGCAGGTATTCAACGTGACATTATCTTGTTCCCCGACAAGATGGCGGAGGTACGACAGACCAGAGTTTAAGCACCTCTTGCAAGTGACATCATCTGAAAGTGTGGTTGCACAGCTTCTTGTGACATCGCTGAAATTCGGAGACTGCAACATCTCAAGGATGGTGGCCATCCCAACACACTGATAGGACACTTGAATTTTGATCCCAAGGCCACAAAACGAAGCAGCAGTGGGCAGTATCCCCTTCGACACCAATGTATCGGAGATATTGGCAATGCAGGCATCAGAAAATTGAGCCGGAACCCCAAGAGTGCCTGTTGTGTTTGCATACATGGCAGATGAGACTGCAAGAACAGCATTGATGTAGCGGCAACACTTTGAGTGTCCATTTTGGTCCGAGCACACTGAAGCTATCAGTCCATAGTTGGGCCAACTCAAATCCAAGGGACAATCTGCATGATGGAAGAACGATTACGAATAATGAATGGTGCTGCAAATGTATAGATACAAGAAAACAGAAAAAAATAATAGATAACTTTTGAAGAGCATCTTAACACTCCACATCTTTACTGAAACCGGGGAAGACATTGCACAGAAAGAACAAAATCTGCAATGAAGCCGTGCATTTGGCTCTTTCTGTTGGTGACACGAATTGCATCTTAGAAAACAGAAACTGAAGTGAATGCCTCAGATCCTCAGGACCAGTACAAGGTAGATACATCTTGCATGCCCAACAGAACATGCAATAAATTCCAAATCCGATAGCCCGATTTCATCGGACTATGGGACGTGGTATACTAGGTATTCAGAATGTGGGGTACCTACGGATAAGCGTATATGACTACAATTCAAGATATTCAACTATTCAGCAGTATTGTCTGAACAACCCACGTGAAAACATCAGGTGAAGGTGAAGTCAAAACAAATTAGTGATTCAGTAATGCCAAATGGCAGGACGGGGTTCTGCGGAGAGCAAAATCCAACGGCTACAAAAGCAAGGCGGGAGAGGCATGAAGGCCCGAAAGGCACACAGGTAACTGTTTAACCCGGTGCAGTACAGCAACCCCCATTAGGTAAGGCGAATTGATGGCGCGAGGACTCCGTCTCCAAGCGCTAGCGAAGCGAGGTCCTCCTATGTCAGACGACACATGCGGCGGCCGCAAACAACTTCTCTGGCATTATCCCCCCAGTCCCCAGCGAGGTGACCACGTCTCAAACCCTCACAGTCCATCAGGAGGAAGAAAAATATAATAACATATATATTCATAAAAATGCAGCTCTGGAGAACGAGAAGTAATCTGGACGAAATGCAGAATTGTCACCAGAAAATCTCCAGCAAAGGGGGAAAAAATAGGTTTCATCAACTCAACGAATCACCACCAAGGTAGGGAAGCAAAGAGCAGAACAGAATGGAAGCACTGGCTGAGCGAAGTGCGCGCTTCCGATTCCACCCGCGAGCGCAGTCGCCGCCGCCACCCCCACGGCACCCACCCTATGAGGCTCCAGAACCCAGCGACAGCGATCACCGGTGAGAAGCGCGCGCGACAGCTGACGGATATATAGGAGCGGCGAAGGAAGGAGGGAAGGGGAACACGGCGAGCGGGCCGAGTGGCATCGGCGGGCGCTTACCTGCCGCGATCACCACTGGGCCCGGGCGCGCCGCCAGCAGCAGCGCGGCGGCCAGGAGCAGTGCCGGAGCGAGGCGCCGCCGCATCGAGCCCGGCGAAGGAGGCGGGGTCGGGACCGCGGGAGTGGGCGAGTGGCAGAGTGGAATCGGAGAGCGTGCAGTCAGTGGCAGTGCGGGTGAGGAGGAAAAGAATAGTCCGTCTGGGTCGTCGGGGAGGAGGGCGAGGAACGGAGGAAGGCAGGAATGGGATGCCAGGCTGCCCGACTAGGGCCGGATATAGAGCGGAGTCGTTAGGCTAACAAGTCATTTAATATTACTGAGTCAGAGAGACAACTCAGCTCGGCTTGTCAGCGAGTTCGAGCGGTCTCGTTTAGTTCGTGTTCTATTAAAATAGAATACACATATTTTATATTATAATAATTGTAGAAGATGATATCTATCATTATGTAACTATACATGATTAATATATATTATGGTTCATTAAAAGTATCAACCAGGTAACATAGCTGGTTTATTTATGATCTATGCAGTTCAGCATACTTGCTAGTTGCTTGCCACTACAGATTTAGAAAAGTCCACAAATTCAATGTCACCCTGAAAAATAATCCATAAATCAACATTTAAGTACAACAACAATTATAAAATCAAAATTCATATTAAAACAGTTGAAAATAAGAATTACATATCAATAAAATAGGTGTACACTTTTAGATCAGCATCATCATCTTCTGCATTATGGTCGTGGACTAATGGGCCTCAGCTCACTTGAGCTTCAGCTCACGAGCTGACTCGTTAAAACAACGAGCTACATTTTTAGCTCAGTTCATAAAAAAAAAAGTTAAAACGAGCCTACCGAGGCGACTCTGTGCCCACCCGACGCCAACCCGATTCCCCCGCTCTCTCTTTTGCTCGCCGGCGCTTTTTCGCTTTGCCGTGCCGGCAGGCCCCCTTTTCATCTAGGAGAAGTCGTGGTTGGGTTGGGCTCACGGGCGCGCAGTGGGAGTGGGATAGAGGGATATGCGCCCGGCCGCCCGTGGGTAAATGGGTCTCCCACGTGTCGTAGACCGGCCGGCCCATACAGATACAGTGCCAGCAGCAGCCGCGCTCGAGGATTTCGCCCATCGCCCCGCCGTCGCGACGCCACTGGGGGCATCTCGTGACGGGGCGGTCTCGTGTCGTCAAGGGGCTCGGGAGGCGCTGACCCGACGACCCTCTCGGGCGATGGCCTACTGATTGGAGTGTTGGGGCCACTGCCAGAATGTCCCCGGGACCGGGACAATCTCTACTGGGCCACGGGCCACTGCGTACGGTCGCGCCCACAGGCCACAAGCTATACGGATCATTCAGAGGCTGGTCAAATGGTACAAGCGAACAGGCCTGCCACTGGGGGGAAGACATGCGTTGTGTCGCAATCCGGTACGGGCTGAGGCATGTTTTCCTGGGTACTCCTACCAGAGGGAGACAACTCCCTACTCCTCTCTACCATTCCAGTTCCAGACATTCTGTGAGGCAACTCATTGCTGGTATGGCGTCCGAATCCCAGCAGGGAGAAGCATACGGATCACGGAGACGCAAATGTCAACGTTGAACGTATACACAGGCCGGCCGGCTTCATAAACATGTTTGATATGGAGCCCCTGGGTGGCTTGGCCGGCTGGCCTGGCTATGGCCAGCCAGAGGCTGGTCAAATGGTACAAGTGACTTTGTTTGATTGTTTGTCCCTGCGGAGCCAAGTTCAGATGACAACATGTTTGTTTTCGTGTACCGGGAGAGTATGGCTACCTTGCACAAGAATGTGGTAGCCTTACCACCAAAGCTCCTCTCAGCGCTCCCCACCGGCATTTCATCGAACAGTTGTTGGGCGCGAGCTGCCAGGGGCAAGAGGGTGAGGAATGGCAAGCCTTTCATGGGTTCCGGAGGACGGTTGGCTCGACCGTGCGTGCGGCCGGCGGCAAAGGCGCGTGCAGGCGCAGCTGCGTCCGTGGGCGGGCTCGTTGGCGCGTGATGCGGAGGCCTCGGCGGCGAGGCGGACATGCGTGGTCGACTGGGCTGCAGCGGCATGGGCGGTGCTCGTCCGCACATACGGGAAGCCGCGGGGGCCGCGGTGGTGGGGCGGCCACAGAAGCATGGCCGCTGCGCCTCCACGGACGACCCCGATGCGGCGCAGGAGCCTCAAGCCCCGGGCGCCGCGGCCGACGTCGACGCCGCGCGGATGGGCGCCCACGCTGCGTCCCCGGACCCCGGTGTGGCCGCGCACCGCCTGCTCCGCGACGAGACCAGCGACGCCATTGCCGACTTCCTCGGGGTCGCGGGCAGCACGGGCGTCGCCATCCTCCTCCTTGGCGAGCACGAGGACGCTCTCAACTCCTGGTCCGGTCGCCCGCGTCGCCGTGCCGCGCCACCGCAGCTTCCCCTCCCGGATCCGCCTCTTCCTCTTCCCCGCCAAGCCCGAGTCCTCTTCCCCGCTCGGCGCGGCGGCGGTGGCCTGAGCAGCGATGGAGAAGAAAGGGAGGGTGGGCGAGACACACGGGAGCATTGGGAGGTGACGCGAACTTGACTTCAGCGCCTCACCCAGCCGGGCCGCCCAGAAACGAAGCTTTCAACCGTTTCCTAGGAGCCATGTGAGAGAAGGCTCTTTGCACCTAGCGGGCCTGGCTCGTTGGTGGGCCAAACAAATCAAGCAACGCAAGCCGCAGCTGGAGGGCGCTGGGCCACAGCCCTATATCAAACAGGCCCAAACTAGCTAGGCTGCCCGGGCCGCAACTGCAAGAGCGACAGAACACACGCAGACGGCGCCACGGCGGACCCGAGCGCGGCCAGCCCCTTGTCGCCACGCCGTTGTTGCTCTCTCTCGGTCTCGGGGGCGGCTGCGCTGCGCTACACTGCATCTGCATACGAAAAGGTGCGTTACGAGAGCAGGGATCTGCTCTTGTGTCTACATCCGCTCCCCAACTGAAGAACCACGCACCAGCTTTCTCTGGCCACAGGCTCTTGTCCAAATCCAAGACTAGTTTTTCCAATGCCCTGAATAACAAAGGGTATCCAATACCACACCACACCCAGTTGCTTGCCTATGTTTCCTTTTGACTATATATATATATATATATATATATATATATATATATATATATATATATATATATATATATATATATATATATATATATATATATATATATATCAAGTTATGGAGTTGTTGGTGGCAAGGTCACACATGCGTCCACATTCAACCAACACAATTCCGCGCGGCTGAGCAGACAATGTGTATATATGCACGACCCAGCTGGAATACATTCGGTCATTATTCTCTCGTCTTGTTGTTTCTTTGCCTTCAACTAACCACTCTCATGGCTTAGCATGTACAAGTGCGTCCTTCCCTTTGCCAAACAACAAGGCTATGCGTGTGCAACGAACGCAGGAGTACCTAACGATATGATGGTCAATATTATGCTAACTCACAGCCCATTTGAATGGTGGAGTGCACAATTAACAATGAGTCAATGACATGGCGCGCGGAGACCGGCCGCCGCTCTGCTAGGAACCATTGGTTAACTACCAGCATAATCCCACTCCGACTTGGTCACATGGTAGGGAGTACAAGGAGAATGCGTACTTTATATTGCAAGATTTGCTAGCCGTAAATGTTTTTTCTTAGTCCTTGCGTGTGTACTTATTTCAGTATTAATATTTCTATCAGTGCAAAACTGCAAATTTAAAACTATCTTCTTCCTGTATTTTTCTTCTCTCTTTTTTCATCCTCCACCTCCTTCTCATGCGTGAACCACTCTTATCTTTTTTTTATCTCTTCGTTCATCTCTTATATTTTCGCGTGTATTCCCTAGTTGTGTTTATAATGAAACATCGCTATCGCTAATTGTGTTATTTTTTCTTCTCTCTTTCTTCACAGAATTATTTTTCGTCAGTGGTGTGAAAGCTGGTTTGGGACTAAAATCAGTAGTGAAAAGCTTCTAGTCATGGTGAAAAGTATACATCATCTTTCCTTCACGTGTCTAGCTCCCCACGTGTGCTTCTTTATTGTGGCCGACGGGCGGGGTCTCACGCTCACGTGTCACCACGCGAGCGGTGCTCGCACGGAGCACACGGATCACTGGGCCCATACTCTCTCTCTCTCCCTCTTTTCTCCTGTCTCTCTCCCTCCCTCCCCCGGCAAGGAGACGGGGCGTGCAGTGGTGGCGGTCCTCACTTGGAGCGGCGGTGGCCCCAACATGGCTACTCCCATGGCCCGGGCGCGACCTCTGCCCTCCTCTCTGACATAGACGACAACTGGTGCACCTGATGGGCACCTCTGTCAGATGGTGTTTTATTTTTAATATTTTCACCATCGACTCATTACAGAAGCTGGTTGTGATGACCTTGATTATAATCGCCAATCATCACCAATGAGGGTGAAAACAACGCTGATGAATATTTTGTAGTAGTGAAACAAAAAATCCTATTGTATGTTTGTTCGAAAAGTTACCAAACCATTTATATATTTAAGATCCTATAGTTGCGTTAGATATAGGCCATATATTCATTTTATTTATCATTCTAGGATAGAAAGGCTCGATGTAGTACATATATAGACATTGTGGAGACAATATAATTGCTACATTGTTGACAAACATAGGTGTTCACAAATAACAAATCCCATAAACAACAGCGACATATTCTATTAGGAAATGGTATAACTGAGGCTTGTGTTTGTTTGGTTTGATCGCGGCACATTACCCATTCATAGCGTGCCTAAGACTTGTCATAATTTTTTAGTCATGTGTTTGTTTCAAATGCAACAACTTTCCAATCTCTTGGGCCAACATGCAAAAGACATCTTAATGCCGAACTTTAGCCATTTTGTTTGCCATAGCTTGTTATTTGCATGCAAGCAACACTTGGCCTAACTTTACATAACTATTAGTTGTGCGAAGTTAGACTTAAACTAAGCAACATTACCATATGTTGTTGGTCCAGGAGCTTACTCTTTACATTCCCATTTGAAAGGACTAAGATGAGTGCTAGAATCCAATTTCTCATATTAGTAGAAAACAACGCACTATATTAAACCTTGCTTCCTAGATTCACGTGTTTGAAAATGGACAAGTTTTCAGGTGACCAGAGACGATGGTGGTGGTGGAAGACGAGCTTCTTCTTCCTTTGAGGAATTAGGGCTTTAGAGGAGGGGGTGAAAGGTCCTCATGGCTAGAGGGGGGGTGAATAGCCTATTAAAAATCTACAACAACACTTAAACCAAGTGGTTAGTCAATTAAGTAGCGAAGCGAGTGTTGCACTAGCCTACTAAAAATGCAAGCCTCCTATCCACAATTCTAGTTCCTATGATCTCTATTTCACACACAAGAGGCTATGTCACTACCACTAAATTAGTGAGCTCTCAAAGACTAACAAAAGAGCCTCACTAATCACTAGACATGACACAAGCTAGCTCTCAAAACTAGTTACACTAAAGAGCTTAGCTACACTAGGAATATAAGTACAAGGGTGAGGTACTGAAGATATACCGCCATGGCAAGTGACAATCAATCAATCACAATGAATACCAATGAAATCCTCGGAGACAAGATGACACAATAATTTTTCACCGAGGTTCACTTGCTTGCCAGCAAGCTAGTACCCGTTGTGGTGATACACTCACTTGGAGGTTCACGCGCTAATAGGCATCACACGCCTAACCCATAATCGGGTGCCGCACAACCAACACAAGATGAGAATCCACAAGCCATGAGCAATCCACTAGAGTATCTTTTGACTCCGCCGGGGAAAGGTCAAGAACCCATCACAATCACCACGATTGGAACCAGAGACAATTACCTTCCTCCGCTCGACGATCCTCGCTGCACCAAGCCATCTAGGTGGCGGCAACCACCAAGAGAAATAAGCGAATTCCACAGCAAAACACAATCATCAAGTGCCTCTAGATGCAATCACTCAAGCAATGCACTTGGATTCACTCCCAATCTCACAAAAATAATGAATCAGTGATGGAGATGAGTGGGAGGGCTTTGGCTTAGCTCACTAGGTTGCTATGTCAATGAAAATGGCTAAGAGAATGAGCTAGAGCCGGCCAAACACCTTATATAGAGGCTCCGTCAAAATAGAGCCATTGGCCCTCGGTTTGGGCAGAGATCGACACGATCGGACGTGCTGGTCAATGTGATCGGACGCACCACCCTCAGCGTCCGGTCGCTAATCTGCTGCCACGCGTCCCTTGCGTTCAATGACGACCACAGATCTCCAATGGTCACCTCTAGCGCCAACGCGGTTAAGTGGTGATCGGACGCGGCGAACAATCAAGATCGGACGCGCCGGTGCACAGAACGCCCACACGCGCGCCTGTCGGTCCCTCAATTTGAGTCCTCAATGCATCCGTATTTGCACCAGGATCACGCATAAATATGCACTAATCATAGGGATGGTACATATATATATATATATATATATATTAAAGGGTTTCGAGCTTTATTGATACGTAGAAATAGGGTCTTACAACAGTAGCCCAAGGGGCATGGTCATAGACTACATATCTAGCGGAAGGCTACGGCCGTGAAACAACATTATTGGTGGTTTCTAAAGCGGAATTATTATACAGCGAAGCGGCATCCTATTCCATAGGCAACTTGAGCGTGGGCGAAACCTTAGCCTCGATGTCACATTCCTACGATCGTATCTCCTTACGAGAAACCTAATCCTCGTGGTATGCTTCATCTTCAAAGTCATAGTCTTCTTCTGTGCCGAGGTCTGTGAGTCAACAACGGGTGAGTACATACGTACTCAACAAGCCCTAACCATAGGGTAGAAATAGAAGTGTAGTGGTGATTATAATTAAGGGTTGAGTTCTAGCGGAGTATTACCATTCCCACTAGTGCCCGGGTTAACATCAATTCTATTACCAGTTTCATTACACATAAAAGTAAAGCTAATCATAGTATCCTATCCTAGCATTTGCCCATTCCAAGAATGTGGCTATTCGAATAAATTTAATAAACTCTACAGAGGTGTACAAATTTCCCCACATGATAGGTGCAAGCTCATCCATGATCAGTGGATGAAATAGACCTAACGAGACCTCGTACCCGAATATACGCGACCTTAGATGTCCATATAACTCTACTATGACTTCTCAGGAGTTGGAACATAAAACCGGGAAGATACCAAATCCTCCCAAACATGATGATATCAAATCACCACAAAAGATAAACATGGCCAAGAAAACAGTGGCTCGAACGTGGCCTAAAAACCAAAAGCTTAACATGGAAGATCACATAGCATCCATGCCAACCCCCGTATTGGCTCCTAACAATACACTGCCTACACCGGCCTCCTAGTAGATATTATATCTCTATCTAAAGGGGTGTGAGATAAAGCCTACCCATATAGACATGTGGCTATACGAAATAACTCACTAGACGAGAGGGACTATGACCCGGTCCTTATATGACCGAGGCTAGTATCTCCCATAGGAATCCTCTCTAGGCATCCCTACCATGATAAACTACCTCCGTAGTTTACCACTACTCGCCC